CAAACTCCAATTACCCTGATAATTGATCACTTAGTTTTAATCCCCAAATGATTTTCGTTAATTTCCCTCAACTACCCTTCCTTCCTACGTTGATTTAATGCAGTGTCCTTTACCTGATCATTATTTAAACTGAACTACAATTCTTTCAGTTACGCCATTCACTCTGTGAAATTTCAAACTGTTGTATGTTCTCTAAGTTAGCATCCTCATGCAGCGACAAGATGCAACTGAGAGGCTGTCACGAAATTTATTGACGTCAATAAATCCTGCCGTTTACGCCTGTTTTAAATTTGTACCGGGGAGCAAATGCTTCAAATTCATTAGGCGAGTTGTTTTAATATAGTACTCACTGTGAGCAACCAGCAAGGAGTTGGCCTTGACCCCAAAACTCCTTTTCCTCAGCAAGTTATTATATTGGTTTGAGAATGTCTCCGATTAGTTGTGAAACTGTGTAGTATATGCTTCCTAAAAGTCTTTTTGATTGCCCAAGTGGTGTCTCGCTTTCAAAAGTAAGCGTACTGTGGTAATAGAAATACGCAATATTCTTTTTGCTCCCGGTATATTTCAGAAATCATGCGTTGTACAACAGCGTTGTTATTTGATACACAGCACCCAAACAATTTCTACAAAAACATTATAATTTTTCATTGAGTTTTGCAAGCCAGTTTTATGCAGCATTAGCCAAACTTAGACTGAAGGAAGATCTAGTAAATGGATTTAAATTAGCTCGGCTGGGTTGAGGAGGTAAAACCACAGATGCTCATTTAATTTTCACGTTCAGCTGATATGGCACTTCCATGGTCCCGAACTTATCCTCAACACGCAAACAACTTATTAAACATTTAACAACATTTCACTCCTGAGAGTTGATACGAATACCCTACACCCATAAATGTTTCCAGGTTTCAGCTGCATACCAAACTTTGAGGAGCCACTTATGCACTAGCAAGGCATTGAATACCTAACATTTTCAGACTTATATTCAATCAGATCCCTTTGAGATGATAGCATTGGAACTGTAAAATATGTCTGCCTTGAAGGGGGATTCAGATAGAAGGAAATGATCATTTATATTGGCGACGAATCTGACGGCAGTAGTTAGTGCATTCTTTTGGAGGCTTCCAGATAAGTTGCCAAAACGTTTTATAAAAACTCGAACTTTTCATAGTTATTAATTTACGAAGTTAGCACGTAATTACTTTTAACCCGAGTAGCGAACCAAGAAGATAAATGAAGAAGGTGTAGTTAAATAGACAAGTTCGCTTTCCGTTGGTCTACATTTCTACGTTGTTAAGGATCCGACACTTTGAAGTGGGATAGCATCCTAGGGAGGAGTTACACATATTTTCAGTATACGGCTTGCAATAAACTTGTTGACTTGGTTTGGTTTTGTGTCAGAGAATGGTTATTGATTGTAAAGTTCGGAAATTTCTCCAAGACTCCATATGCGCTGATAGATGAGCAAAAACTTTCAGTTGCAAAAACCTGTTAATGAAGGCTTAAAATAAGCAGCAATTTAACCAGCCTTAACTGGCTGGGAACAAAAGGCTTTTAAGGCATCATGTGTATGACACTAAACGACTCCAATTTTGAGGGTAATCTTTTGCGTGAAAATATGAAAATGTCAGCGTTTTCATCGTCTTAAAAATTTGCATGAAAGCTTTTGCCACTAAAGCTGTCAGTTATATACTCATATTTAAGATGGGTTCTAGAGGAAGATTCGTGGTTTCTAAATTGTACAGCTTAACGTACTAAATGGAATCACTTACGAAACTCACCTTATGGTGGAAAAATCTAGAACAGAATTCAACCACCAGGAAAAAAGTGTATTTTATTTGGTCTACTGTGCGTTTTAATGAGCAGCAATATACGCAGGTTACCTTATGGACTGTTTGATCGGCATCGTCTAATAACATTTGTGATTCCGGGGGGCTCCATGACGTCTTCTGGTTTAACTAGGCGTGTTCCAGCTGATTAAACGAAGATTATCGACGCAGCCGGTATTTGATAAGTGTGGAAATCCAAAGTCATGATCATATTGTGTACTGTTTCCTACCTAATCTTTCTTTTAACGTCATATGATCGAAGTCCTCGATTAGTAAGAGAGGGCTTAATCTGCACAGGGAAGCAATAGGATAACAAATAATTACGTCTTGTTCGTTACCTATTTTCATGGACAACAACAGACGCGACTTAAAACCGGCATGAGAAATCATCAAATTGTTATAAACTGCGCTGGACTAACAGAATATTTCAATTTTGGGACTAAAGTTACTGCATTGGTTCTCGGATAGCAGTATTCTCCGCCCTAACAACAGAATGAATGCAATATTTATTGTTACTTTGCAACGTATTTTACCATGTAGGTAATACCCTCTTCACAGTACAGACAGCTTGTGACTTCAACGCATATTCCTTCTAAACTGCGTATCAATAGCCGGGGAAAGATATAGTTAAGACCTTTTGACTTTGTATGTACGAAACCAACGTTCAAAGTTTTCGTAGGGATCACAGAACAAGTGCGGGTTCTCGGCCAAGACGAAACAGCTCTTCTGGGCTGTCTAATCCTCATGTGTCATATAATGCTACTGGTTTCTAGGCCCCAGCTTAGTCTGCGCGTCATTGAAGTAGCTGTCTGCTGGCTGGACAATGTTCCATTTATTACATTAAAATAAAGCTTTTGCTCCGAACCGCTGTGAAGTAAATGGCCTGACTATGTCTTGAACGCCGTATTTTAAACTAGTCTTTCGAAATTTTAGCGATCTGAAAGCTGAAGGTCAGATATTTCTTGAATTTCTACCGGTCCGTCATGTGTAGAATGGCATTAGCTTTTCTCTTTCGATATTCTGAATTAAGATTTTACTGAGTGCCATTTACCACGTATACGGCCAAGTTAGTTGATAATTATTCCAAACGAATGCTCACTTATTGTGTAATGCAGACTTATGGGAAAAACTGGTTTTTGCATTTATTTTACTTTGATTACTCTTTACTAGAAAAGTAGATTTGAAACATTGTTTTCCCC